GCTATCATGGTGATCAAAACTGAATGCAGGATTCCAAGTGTGACCTTACCAAGGCATTATAAAGTGGTATTAACACTTCACGTGATCTTGAGTCTATCACTCTGTTTATGCAGCCTAGAACTGTGTTGGCTTTATTGGCAGCTGCTGCACACTGCTGGCTCATACTTAAATGGTTGTCCACTAGGACTCCAAGATCCCTCTCACAGTTACTACTATTGAGGAAGGTACCACCTATACTGTACCTGTGCATTCGTTTTTCTTGCCTATATTCAACATATAGTCTTGACTGAAAACAATTCCCACTAAATGCATCCATAGGGTTAATCTATCACACCAGTTGGAATCTGGAGCTTGCTGGTGTTGGCCCCGGCGCTCTCAATGGCTTGGGTCTGCCATTCCTTTGGTGGGGAGCTTCATGACTGGGGCATTTTGTGACTTGGATCGCTGCTGTGCCACACTTGTTTCCCTGCCACGCCAAGAGCGTGAAGGACCTTCAGATCCTGCAGTACTTCATACGAAAAGGCACCAGCGCAGGCATGGCAATGTAAATCAGCATGGTCTGTCATGTCGTCGGAGTATATTGGGTGTATTGCACGCGCGTAGGAGAGGGCGGGGCATGGGAAGGTTTAAATGGTGGAGGGAAGTATGGAATTACAGGCTTGACTTTAATTCATTCGTGTTTTGCATTGTGTGATATGTTGGAAGTACCGAAACCGGGTTATAAAGATTACATTTACCACAAACCACCTGCTTAGTCATCTTGTTTTGTTTTCTTTGTCTGAACGGAACCTGACAGCTGGCTAATAGTGGGTACATTTACATTCTGATAGATTACTATCTCTACAGATCATGTAGAAGTTGAATGACTCCTACATTATGTGTAGAAATATAATATTCTATTATAAATTGAATAATAGAAATAAAATCTCTACAGCAGAGCATTTTGGTTAATTATGTTCACAATATCATTTCCCTAAGAAATAGGAAGCTTTCTAGGGTGCTTGGTGTGCCATTTTCCAATAGTAGAAAATGTGGCAGGCCTGAAGACCCAGTGTAAAAGATGGCTTCCGGGTCTCACACTCTGTCTGTAGAATCATAAGAGGCTCTCCTGTCAGGGGTGGGATTCACTTGCCTTCCCTACCAGTTCGCAAATGTGGATGCGTGCGCTAGCTTCGCTTACACGCATCCCATCCACACATTCACTCGCACACGCACACACCCCGTCCACGCATTCCCTCCTTCCGTGCATGCACTTTGGCTAAAAAAAGTGTCTAAATGGGATGGCATAGAGCTGGGGCAGGGGACGGACCCACCTGCGATTTCCACTACCAGTTTGAGCGAACCCATCCGAACTGGCAGAATGCCACCTCTGTTTCCTGTCCAACCACAAATAAAAATGTCCCCAGCAAATGGGGCTCCAGACCCTCCGCCCATAAAATCAATGTAGCATTCTTACTGTTGTTGTTATTATTTGAGTTTTTCTTCCTAGGACATAGTTGTGTCTGTCTTGCAGGGGAATTTGTGATCTCACCTGTGGAAGGGGAGCTACGTGTGAGAAAGGATGCTGAACTGGACCGAGAGAACATTGCTTTTTATAATCTCACCATCGAGGCCAAGGACAGAGGGCTGCCTTCTCTCAGTTCTACGGTAAGTCATAGGGGCTCAGATTATAAAATGTCCATCTGAAAAGAGGTACTGAATTGTGTATAGTAAAAAAACAAAAGGGACTAAAGTAGCCCTTGGTTTACAACCCTAATGGAACCTGGAATTGTGATTATAACTAGTTAGTAGGTCAATCACCTGACCACACTTGATTTTATTACCTTTCTCGTGGCAGTCTTTAAGCAAATGCCACTGTCCTTGTTCAGAACAGGTTGTTTTGGCTGGAAACCAGAAGTAAACACTAGTTTCCAACAAAAATCATCGTAAATCATGTGATTATAGGATGCTGCAAATAGCTATAAGTGAAGGCCAGAAATGCAGTCATGTGACTGGGGGGGGGGCAGCAGCCATCAGAACTTTGAATCTGGGTCAGAAGTACATCTGGGGGAGGTTGAATGGTTGAATGTTTGCTGAAAACCAGACATACAGAAAGTCAAAAACTACCTGTATTCTAAAAGGGATGCAGTGACTCAGTGGCTAAGACACTTATTGACAGCTTGTCAATCAGAAAGGTCAGCAGTTCGGTGGTTCAAATCCCTAGCGCCGTCTAACAGAGTGAGCTCCCATTACTTGTCCCAGCTTCTGCCAACCTAGCAGTTCGAAAGCATGTAAAAATGCAAGTAGAAAAATAGGAACCGCCTTTGGNACCTGTGACTTTACTCCCAAGTCTACCCTGATTTCTGCGTTGTTCTTTTCTTCTGGCAGCTCTGTGCATGGGCACACTGGGAACAGGCTGTAGCTGTTCCTCTGCCTCATTTCTGTCTAGCTCCATAGGCACCTGATCACTGCCAGATGGCCTCAGCCCCATCTCTGCCTCCAACGCAGAGCCCTTGTCCAAGCCTTCCCCAGCCTCCAGGACTGGCCCGTGTTCCTCCCCAACCTCCTCACTGTCTTACTCTGCTGCCAGCTCCAATGCCTGCTGGCGGGCCACAACAGCTGTAGATCGGGGTGTCAAACTCGATTTCATTAAAGGCCACATCAGGGTTGTGTTTGACCTCAGGGGCCTGGTGTGGGCATGGCCAGGGTGGGTGTGACCAGCTTGACATCACTTGTGTCGCCAGAGAAAATGGGCTTCCAAGCTCCGTTTTCTGCTGTGATGGTCTCCTGCAACTCCCTTCCAGCAAAATCGCAGCTCTGTGTGCTGCCCTCCCGAGCTCTGCTTTCGCTGGCAGAGGCACTGCAGGCCAGTCTTTTTCTGTTTCCAGGGCAGCCCCGCAGACTAGATCTAAGCAACCTGTGGGCCAGATCCGTCCCCCTGGGCCTTGAGTTTGACGCCCCTGCTGTAGGTAATCCTAATTTAAATTCCCACATTTAAAAGTGGTGTATCTCTAATGAGACAAACAGAGGCCTTTCTGCTTAGATTATGAGCTGCCAGAAATATCTGATGAGATATGAGCCTGAATAAGGATGAGATTGCTTTTTGGCTGTTGTTGTTATTTAATGAGATCGAATTGTGTGGTTCAATTTAATTGTCTCCTACATAGGTGCAGTTTCAATTCATGCTCTTCCTAGCCAGATCATTGAATTTTAACCTACATGGAAAGCTCTACGTTAATTCATAAAGGTTGCAAGTGTATACTGTTGAATTGTGGGTGATTGAAGAGACAGAGGCAGATGTTCGGCATCAAACTCTTTATTGCAACAAGCAATAACCCAGCAGCTGTTTGTCTGACAGCTTGCCCTTTTATAGGGAGCTGTCAGACGGCTTAGCCAATCACAGCAAACTATTTTTCCCACCTTGGTGGTGGTCCTGAGTGAAGCCTTGATTCCTCGGTTTCACTCCTTCATTTGGATATTATACAATAGAATAGCAGAGTTGGAAGGGACCTTGGAGGTCTTCTAGTCCAACCCCCTGCCAAGGCAGGAAACCCTATACCGTTTCAAACAAATGGCTATCCAACATCTTCTTAAAGACCTCCAGTGTTGGGGCATTCACAACTTCTGGAGGCAAGTTGTTCCACTGGTTAATTGTTCTAACTGTCAGGAAATTTCTCCTCAGTTCTATGTTGCTTCTCTCCTTGATTAGTTTCCACCCATTGCTTCTTGTTCTATACTCAGGTGCCTTGGAGAATAGTTTGACTCACTCTTCCTTGTGGCAGCCCCTGAGATATTGGAACACTACTATCATGTCTCCCCTAGTCCTTCTAAGAGATTGTATTTGCCGGTTCTCCAAACTACTCAAAATTTCCA